TGTGTGTGTGTGTGTGTGTGTGTGTGTGTGTGTGCCAAATTATGGAATAGATGATAATATTAATCTTATCTTTGAGTAATTGAACTGAATACTCTAATAACAGAAGAAGGACTGGATAACACAGAAGGGCTCTTTTATCCATAAAAGAGCTCATGCATATTATTCTGATTTTAAATATATATAAATATATTCTGATTTTAAGAATTACTTAATCAGAATATATTAAAGACTCCTCATGTTCACAGACGAATATATAGACAATGCGCTATTTTGTACATAGGTGCTTTTCTGCTCCAATATCCTGTCTTTCTGTTTTCTCATATTCATTGCTTAGTGATGGTCCTTCTCCTTTGCAGTGTGCAAACTGCGCGCTGCCGGCAGCCACTGATAGGAAGCAACCTTCTCACTGAGATCATCCGACACATGCCGCAAGATCCCGGCACGCTCACTTCCATTCTCCTCCCTTTACATGCAGGTTTAACCACTTAAAATGTGATTCGTGAATCCCCCCCGCAAATCTTACCATTTTATCAGTTTGCTCCAAATAGAACTCCTGCGCCGCGGTCCCTTCGCGCACACCACAGGAGACAAATCAAGCCTGGCGGGGCTGTAAAGGTACAAGATTCCCCGGTGGCTCCAGGCGATGCAACTTCCAGCCGGTATGCAGTTTGGGTTTGTTGCAGAATTACCGCTTGGAAGAATGCGGTAATTTTGCTTTTGCGGCAGAGATTAAGGAATGAAACGAGGTTTCCCGTGCCGTGCGTGGAGATTGTTCGGTTGTTAAGTGCTGATATGTCGCTTGGCCCAAGGACCGCTGCCTGCTCGTCTCGTCTTCCACGTAAGAATGTGCCGCGCATTTCAACTAGTCCACTCGCTATCAACCCCCCCTTCCCTCTCTCTCTCACTCTCTCTCTCTCCCTCTCTCTTATCCATACACAAACACTCTCACACATGCGCGCAAGGAAGCTGAAATCCAATTCTACATGATGGATGTGAGACATAAACGGGGTGTGTTAAATTATCTAGTCTCATCTGATTCTACACAGAGACACAGAGATGTGGTGGAACATGAAGAAAGTGTGTGTGTGTGTGTGTGTGTGTGTGTGTGTGTGTGTGTGTGCGTGTGTGTTATTCCTGAGGCATCAGAACGGGTCAAAGAGCTCAAACAAAAGAGATCAGAACCCCGGACAGCGACCGTGACCATTTTAATATAAATGTGTCCATTTACAAATCTACACGTTATAAAATGTCTGGAGGAAATTATCTTGGAAAGTCTATCATCTTAATTTTTTGAGAAATCGTCATATAATCTGTAAGATGATTTTAGACACTGTATGTTAGTACACTATGTGTTTAAAGCTGCTTAAGACATTTTATATAATATGTAACTGGCTGCCTTTCCTGCAACAGGCTAATTATGCCTCCCATTCCAAGATTATAAGGTGTGTTTACTGGGAGGAGGTGGTGTGGCATTACGATAGTCATTTGATAAACACTGGCAAAGACTGTGCAAAGACAATGGCAGTAGCTTTTAATGGCTTTTCCCATTTTTTGTGTGTTTCTCAGTTTGCCTTATCAGCTTTTTCTTGGCATCTCTTTCAGTGTGATTCCTGTTTTAATTGAAGACCTGTTCTTCATATAATTTTCTCTGTTTTTATTTCCCTCTTTTGTTCTTTTCCCCACCCTCGTCAGTGTCTGACTGGCATTCTCTGTGCCTTATTACCCTGTTAATCCTCTCTGATACTGATTGTGCACTGCACACTCTGTGAAGGTGATTTACCTGTTTTGCATTTTATTTAGATACAACTCCACACATATAGATGAGTATGCTGTGGTTATTTCAGAAGGACCACCTCAATTAAAAACAGAATTAACATGTCTTTTTTGTATGTTTGTTGACCTTTCCCACATTGGGTTATGTATTAGCTGTGTGAGCTGGTAATTCTGAACCCAAAAGGACAGAAGGCAGGAGTCGAACTCAAAATGAGCATTTAATGCTGATAGTCCAAAATGTTACAGCAAATATGGAACTGAGTAAGTGAATCAAAAACACAAAGAAAAGCCACGAGATACAGATTTGTTGGGGACGTCAGAGTGGGAAGATATAAGGCTGGGGTTCACAAAGACATAAAGGACGAAGGAAAAATAAACAGAGAGAGACAGAGAGAATATATACACTCTCATTATAACAAGGAGAGACAGGTGGGATGCATGGCTCGAAAAATGAGACATAATGAGACGGAGGAAGCAAATTCCACACAAGACACACACCTCTAAGGCCTCAGTGTGTCTAAAGAATGGTTGCTGCAACAGATGATGATTGCAAAACCTCCTCTCTTAAGCCAAAGGCTAGGAGACAAAGGAAGGCACAGCTTCCAGCTATTGTCTAATTACTTCTATTCATGTAGTAGTGCACCAGAACTGAGGTGTGCAACATCCACTTGGACTGGCAGCCAGGGAAACTGCAACAACGGATAACCCTGAGTGAACTGTGCATTGTCTAAAAAAATCATTAAAGATAGTGTGTAATGTAATAAATAAAAGTATAACAAAAGTGTTGTGTCTGACTGTCTGTGTTAGGGAACCCACAGTGACACAGAAATACTGCACTGGTGCCACCACCAAACAGCAAAAAAAAATATTGGACTCACAGCCTATAACAGCCATTGCAAGCACTGACACAGATAGTGGCAGAGCTGTCCACAATGGACCAGAAACAGATGACTGGAGGCAGCTGGAGGCACGGCACTGCAGGCCTAGGTCGAGCAGCACATCCAGGAAGTGGAAAACCTTGGACCTGGCCTAGGGCCACCACTCTGCTTCACCTGGTTACTTTAATCAAGAAGCTGGAGATAGGTGATAGTCATTCTTGGAGGATGGCAAGGCTTGGCTGGCCATCTCTGCTCTAATCCATCTCAAAGTTGTTCTGTTGGCTTGAGGTCAGGACTCTGTGCAGGCCAGTCAAGTTCTTCCAGACCAAACTCACTTACCCAGGTCTTTGTGGGCCTTGCTTTGTCCACTGGTGGGCAGTCATGTTGGAAAAGGAAGACCCCTCCCCAAACTTTTCAAATACAGTTGGAAGCATGAAATCGTCCAAAATGTTTTGGTACAGTGAAAAATTAAGTTTCTTTTACTGAAACTAAGAAACTAAGAAACTACGATCTAAATGCCGGTCACTGGTCTCTCAATCTCCTGTTGGAGAGCTGTGAGCTTCTACGAGATGTTATCAATTTTGTGTTCAAAGAGCATAGTCTGAGTACTCACGACCGCTGTGAGCTTCTCCAAGATGTTATCTGTGCTGCATTAGATGAGCACATTTTGAGTATGCACTGTTCTTTTGCTAATCTCAAGGCTACAGGAAGTTTGGAGGTATCTGGCAATGAACTCTGCAGAAGGTTCTTGACCTCTGTGTACAATGCACCTCAGCATTGCTGACCCTGCTCTGTGATTATAGGTGGCCTACCACTTCATCGCTGCTTTGCTGTCGTTCCCAATCGCTTCCACTTTGTTACTGTAACACAATTGTGTTACAGACTTAATACAACACACACACATACACACACATATACACACACAAGCAGAGCCTGTGTTTGCAGGGAAGTGATGGATTATTTTCAGTGTGATTACACAACAAAAACTTGTTCTCCTCCATCTCAGCTCTTCCTCTGTCCCCAGTCCTGGCGTAACTGAAATAGGCAGAGCATGATTAGGGAATAGGTCCCAGCTGCTCTGCCAGACACTGCCCTCTGAACTTATTTCACCACCCCTCCCTCTGTAGCAGAGCCACAGACTGCACTCCTCCACAGATATAATAACACTAACAGTTGACTGTGGAATATTTTGTAGTGAGGAAATTTCACGACTGTACTTGCTGCACAGATGGCACATTTTCTTTTTCTTCAACCATTCTTCGACACTTATGTTTGAATGGGTGAGCAAATCCATAGAATTGAGGCTGTGATTAGCTCCTGCCTTGCACACCCTTTAAGGCAGGCCTTTGCAATATTCAACATCAAAAGAGACATTTTGTTTCTATAGTATATGCAGGGATCTCAAACTTAAATGAGCTGTGGGCCACTGCTGGCACTGCCATCTCATTAGAAGGCCACTTTAGTGTTAAGGTAGTACAAAAAAACAAACAAACAAGAAAACTGAACAAGATAATTGAAGCTTTTCACTGAACTACCAAATAAACACATTGGTATTCTCTTTCTGGCCTGACACACGGGAGCTTCTGCTATATTTTTGTTCGTATTTAACAAAATAAAAATGCAGACATAAGTGTACACATTAGTTTTTGACTGCTAGTGAAAACTAACAAAAAAAAGTATATATGTATGGCTAACTCTAATTCGAACCTGTGGCTTGTAAGCCGCATGCAGCAAAAGAACCAGATGTGCCTCGTAAGCCGTAGGTTGCCTTTGCTATAAGGGATGGACTGACCTCAGTTTAATAAGTTTGTGGAACAGTGTGGGGATCAGTCTCATGATCACACTCTATGCTTTGCTTTTAACCATGTGACGGTCAAATGTTGTACCTTGCCACAGCACCAACATTCCTCTATTTGGCAATGATTACAGACAGACTTAATTATTGAAAAAAATCAAAAAGCCAGAAGCCTGACGCTGACTACTTTTGCACATCACAATCAATATCCAATCCATTTTGCAAAACACAGTTATGTATGCCTTTGGGAATCCAGTTTCCTTACTAATGACATTTGGAGGTGGAAGGGGGAGTGTGAAATAAATAGACCCTGCGTAGCCTCAGGTGACAGTTTTGTGGTGTTTATTGCCACAATATTTTTTCCTTTTTCCTGACATTAGGAATTCTTTTCAGCTGCTTCTCCACTCCACACTCAGCTCCTCTCTCGAGCCGCAGCATCACTGAAAAGGGAGAGTCTGATTACTGAGTGGCAGCAGCTGCCCTGCCAGCCACCCTGGCACTGCCCCTCAAGCCCACTTCACCACCCCTCCACTGTAGCAGAGCCAGAGACCCCACCTCCACCACAGTGAGCCTTTAGAAGAGTGTCTCTAAAAGTATATTTGTTCAAGTTTACTGGCTTGCCCAGTGCAGTTGTTGTAAAACTCTGCTCATCTGCCAAAAAATGGAAAAACAAGCAGAAATATCAGTCCACTGGAAAAAGAAAGAGTTCAAATCCAAATCCTGTTCCAGAGAGAAATAAAAAAAAATATATGTATAACCTGGAATCACACACTGTTAGCATGGCTTATTGGTTTCACAGGTGCAATGAACTCACCAAAGATCTCCTCAGTATTCTCTGTTCTTGTGTTGGAAAGAAAAAGGTGCGAGAGCTGCTGGAGGGTTATAATAGTATGATGGGAGTTATTTTATCATTTTGTACTATCAGAAAAATGGCAGAGCAAGGTCTCTAGTTAACGTGGAGCACATTTTTGTGCTACTTTTTCCTTGAGGAGAAATGTGATACTTGCACCTGACATGTTGCTTCCTACTTCGTTCCATGTCTCGTTTTCATCTAACCCTCATGCTGATAATCAGTGGATTTCATTCTGCTCCTGTTCTCCATTCTGCTGCCATCCAGGCCTCCCACACAGTGTGTAGTGGTGGTGACTCAGGCACCCCAAGTCTGCCTTCATCTTCCAGCCTGAGCTGCAAGGAGAAGAATCTAACCTGGCTTTTTATTTTTTTTAACCGTTATTTACACTTAAATTACTATGTACCATTAAAAGCCCTCACACACACACACACGCACACATACACACACACAGAGGCTGGGACTGGCTGCTCTCAATCAAGATCAGGATTTGAGTGTTTCTCTTGACGCAATGACATCATCACTAATTGATCCGCTTTTGAGTTCTGAAAGGGGAATAATATGCTGGTGTA